CCGCTCCTCCGTCCGTCGTTCGTCCGTCCGTCCGTACATTCCACTCTGTCTCCCGCTCCGTCTGAGCCCGATTGTCAGGCTGGTCGCTCGTGTCGCAAGTGTGTGGCATGCGCAGCGCGGTTGTATGTCTGTTGTGCGTGTGTATTGTGTGTGTGAGTGATGTGTTGGCGTGTGCGCGATGTGCGTGTGCCGTGCGTATGATGCGTGCGTGTGTGCGTGTGTGCAGCGTGTGCGTGTGCGTGTGCGTGTGGGACGACGTGTGTGTGTATGTGTGTGTGTATTGTGTGTGTTGTGTGGAGCGAGAAGCTGTTGTGTGTGTGTGTGTGTGTGTGTGTGTGTGATTTGTGTGTTCGTGTGCATGGCGGTATGGTGTATTGGCGGTATGTGTGTATGTGTGTGTGTGCGTGATGTGGGACAGCGCGAATGTGTGTGTGCATGCGGGTATGTGTGTATGTTGCGTATGTGTGTATGTGTGTTGTCATGTCGTTTTGCTGTGTATGTGCGTATGTGTGTATTGTGCCGTGATATTGCGGTGCTCGTGCAGCTGATTCGTGTTGTGTATGCGGGATTGGGTACTGTGTGTGTGTGTGTATGTGTGTATGTGTGTGTATAGTGATGTACGTGTGCCTCGAATGTTGCTGTGATCGTTCACGTGTGTGTGTGCGTGACAGTTATTTGCGTCTGCAGTGTGTCGCGCGCGCGTATGTGTGGTTAGCTGGCGCAGTTGACAGGCTCCGTGTTAGATATTTAGTTTTTCTACTTCCAGAAATATTCGTACCTAAAAACCAGTACCGTGATTGTTTGTTCTCAGCTTATATTCGGTACTTAACCAGTGATGCGTCAGAAAATCTACGAGTTCAGCCACGGCGAGCATCGTGGAAATAACACAATGATGAATGGAACGACTAAGACGTATGAGATGTAGAAACGCAAGAAATGAAGATTAAGAGCATAAGCATCATGCTGCAAGAACCGTCAGCTTAAAGAAGGAAAACACAATTGAGTACAAGCCTACAAAAGCCGCTACAATACACTTGTTCCAATGTTGACTTACATAAATCATCTGATCTGGTTAGTTCACGAATCCACAGCAAGTTTGGTAGTAGACTATATTTATACTCATGCTTACGTGTTACGTAATAAGTTGCGTTGCCGTGCGCTGCGTGTGTGCGTGCGTTTTGTACGTACGTGCCTGTGTCTGTTGCGTGATTGTATAGCATGACTGTGATATTTGTTTGTATTAATTTGTTTAGCTGTGTGAGTCGCTCTTTCCTATCGGTTGTTCGCTTGTCCGCGTCTGTCCCGTCCGTCCGTCCGTACGTTACGGTCTGCCTGTCGTGTGTCCCCTGGTCTGCCAGTGTATCACGTCCGACGATTGGTCCGTCCATCCGTCCGTCTCATCCAGTCGTCTGTTCCGTCCGTCCTGTCTGTACGTCTTGATAACCCTCCGTCCGTCCGTTCGATGCTATCCGGACCGTCTTCTGTCCGTCCGTCCTGTCCGTCGGAACCCTCTGTTTATACCAAATCCGTCCACCCACACATCTATCCATCAGATCTATCTATTCGGTACATCCCATCATCGCGTCCGTCGTCGCTGTCGCGTCTGTCTCTCCGTCAGTCTGGCCGTTTGTTGTCGGCTCCGCTCTGTCATTGTGTGCTATCGCGCGCGCTGCAGCGCGTGTGTGTGGTGTGTGTGTGTGTGTTTTTGTGTGTGTGTGTGTGTGTGTGTGTGTGTGTGTTGTGTTGTCTTGTGTGTGGGTGTGTGTGTGTGACGTGTGTGAGAGCGTTGTGTCATGTCGTTGTTTTGTTGATGTATAGACTGAATTTTTTTTGTGGGACATAAAATTCTGTTGAAGAGATGAAGGAAGGATTGTTGTAGGTACACCTGTAATCAACAGTGAGCGCTCTAGCCAGGCGAGGCAGCTAATTAGTCTTGCTCTGGCGTGTGGTTCGTTGTTGTTTTGGTAAATGACCGGTTGTACGGTCTAGATACTATGCGCTAATAGTCTTCACCGTTCTCGCTAGTCCGCCGACGAAGAACCGGATTGGATCAAAAGTCGCCGGGGATTTTGGGAAATCAACTATAAATAGACACGCTCGACAGACAGGCGGGAGTTTACCTACCCAGAGGAGATACGACGATGTACGATATATAGACGAAAACGGAGACGAACGGAGACCTGCTATCGGTCACCCACCTAGGTGTGCCGTAGTATATATTTTCGTACTTGTAGTTAATAATAAAAGTCCATGTGGAACAACTAATCTGCGATACGGCTCTACCTTCTGGCTATCTACGCCTGCGTGCTTGCTAACATCTCTACCATTGCCTGAACGTAAACAACTTGCTACCTTCTACGCTTGTCGACCTCACGAGAACCCGAGTCTCTCACCTAAAAACCTCAGATCACAAGCAATCGGTGGAGGATGCGGGGTTGAAATGAGACGTCATTTTCACCAGACAGCTGCCGCTATCCTAATTTTCTTGTCCGTTCCTCTTTAAATCCCTGGAATTTCCGGAGTATTTTGCCCGAATAGTTGGCTCACACAGTGCGATATTCAGCTACCTTCGAACCACCGATGAGTTCAATCCCTCGTATGCGTGATGCATCGGCGAAGTGTTCAGCGCTTAGGGATGCGCTGAGGGAAGTTGTCTTACGAAAGGACGTCACTAATACGGTACACGCACTACAATCATGGGTCACGGAAATCATTCCTAAGGCCAGGGAGCAACACAGACGGCGCTCGCGCTCTCTGCTACCTTTCATTGGTGACATATCAAGTTCATTGTTTGGCACTGCAACGCAGCGGGACTTACAGCGCGTTGCCACACATATCAATTCATTAATCGCTCACAAGTAAGACAAGCAAGGTGGTTGAGGATCATAATAACCAGCTAGCATCATATATAGCTACCACTAACCATCGCATGGATAACGCGATGCAAGCCATCACGGATAATAATCATATGATCGCTGCGTTATATAATGAGACTGAGTTGCAGCTTCAGGCAGAAGAAGAATTTGTGCAATCACTACTTGAGCGCTCACAAGAACATCAAATGCATTTGAATGAATTTCACCACGAAGTGTACAATCTTAGGCAGGGTATCAGTTTATTAGTAAACGGCCGGGTATCCCCGCTATTGCTTCCGCCGTCCACTCTAGCACAAATCACACAACACATAGAAAACAAACTGCAGAATCAATACTCGCGTTTTAGGCTTATTTACCCACACACACACGTTTACTCCAAAGCCTTAAAATGTCACTGCACTTATCATGATAACGCTCTGTTTCTGTCTATGCACCTTCCATTGACGGCCAGCGAGCAGCCATTCGAGGCGTACAGGATTCATTCGTTTCCTGTGCCCACTAACAGATCAGCGCGGCACGCCACCCAGCTTATGGAAGTATCCGAGTTCTTGTTGGTTTCCTTGGCTAAACAACATTACACGCTACTAACGGGTCGCGAGTTTGAGCAGTGCTCACAGGAACAAACGCTAATTTGTCCTTTTTCACCGCTTATACGGGCTACTACCGCTGCGTCGTGTGAGCTAGCATTGTTTCTGGATGACTCCCCAATGATAAAAGATGAGTGTGATTTTCGGTTCCTAACATCGCAACCTCGACCTATTCTATACCCTTTGACGGCGCAATCTGTTCTTATGTCAGGCATTGACAAGTGGTCGCTACACTGCCCCGGTTCACAGCAAGCACGCATGGGCTGTGACTTTTGTATAATTTCAAACATTCCTTGTCAGTGTGCGCTAATTGCTCATGAATTTACATTAGCACCTCGTCTGACTGAGACATGTACAGGTAATGACACCATTTTATCTGTTTCGCATCCACTAAACCTAGCACTCTTGCAGCAGTTTTTCGATAACGAAGAATTGCAAAATATCTCAGCTAGCTCAACCTTTATGGTACCGACCGACATTACTCTACCAGCACTACGCTTGTTCAATCACTCGTTTTCTAATTTCATTGCCCAAGATCGGCAAGCGCATCTGATCTGAGTCTAAAGCGAGTATCGCAAGCGCTTAAGCGTGACCAGGTTGTCTACCAATCGCTAACGGAACCGTTATTGCAGGGGGTAATAGACATTGACTCGCCAGCAACCTTACTACGGCAAGGTTTAGCATATATCGCCTTAACACTAGCTGCATTAGCATGTTTAATGACGGGCTGGACACTCTATAAACTCAGGTTGCTGCGCGCCGCTCTATTTACCATGATTAGCACGGCGAAGGCTAAAAATATCGTACCTTAAAAACATACCGTGAGTTGTTGTTCTCAGCTTATATTCGGTACTTAACCAGTGATGCGTCAGAAAATCTACGTTCAGCCACGGCGCTCTGAAATAACAAAATGATGAATGGAACGACTAAGAGTATAATGTAAAAACGCAAGAATGAAGAGTAAGGCAAAGCATCATGCTGCAAGACCCGTCAGCCTAAAGAAGGAAAACACAATTAGTACAAGTACAAAGCCTACAATACACTGTCATGTGACTTACATAAATATCTGATCTGGTTAAGTCACGATGCACAGAAAGTTTGTTAGACTATAGTATACTCATGCTTACGTGTACGTATAAGTGCGTTTGCGTGCGTGCGTGTGTGCGTGCGTTTTTTTACGTACGTGCCTGTGTGTGTGCGTGCATTTATAGCATGACTGTGTATGTGTTTGTATTAATTTGTTTAGCTGTGTGAGTCGCTCTTCTATCGGTCTGTTCGCTTGTCCGTCTGTCCGTCCGTCCGTCCGTACGTACGTCTGTCCGTGTGTCCCTCTGCCAGTGTATCCGTCCGACCGATTGTCCGTCCATCCGTCCGTCCATCCGTCTGTCTGTCCGTCCGTCCGTCTGTACGTCTATACCTCCGTCCGTCCGTTCGTCTATCCGACCGTCTGTCCGTCCGTCCGTCTGTCCGTCGGAACCCTCCTGTTTATCAATCCGTCCACCCACACATCTATCCATCCATCTATCTATTCGTACATCCATCCATCGGTCCGTCCGTCTGTCCGTCTGTCTCTCCGTCAGTCTGGCCGTTTGTTTGTCGCTCCCTCTGTCAGTGTGTGTGCATGCGCGCGCGCGCGCGCGCGTGTGTGTGTGTGTGTGTGTGTGTGTGTGTGTGTGTGTGTGTGTGTGTGTGTGTGCGTGTGTGTGTGTGTGTGTGTGTGTGTGTGCGTGTGTGCATGTGTTGTTTTTTGATGTATAACTAAATTTTTTTGTGGGGACATAAATTCTGTCGAGAGAGAAGGAAGGATTGTTGTATGGTACACTGTAATTAACCAGGAGCGCTCTAGCCAGGCGAGGCAGTAATTAGTCTGTGTTCTGGCATGGTGGTTCGTTGTTGTTTTGGTAATGACGCGGTATGTACGGTCTTAGATATATGCGTATAGCTTCACGTGTCTCCTAGCCCCGGCGAAGAACCGGTTGGATTCAAAAGTCGCCGGGGATTTTTGGGAATCATATAAATAGACACGCTCGGACAGACAGGGAGGAGTTACCTACCCAGAGGAGATACGACGATGTAGAGAGATGGACGAAAACGGAGACGACGGGACCTAGGCACGGTCACCCACCTAGGTTGCCGTATGTATATATTTTGTACGTGTAGTTACTAATAAAAGTCCATGTGAAACAACTAATCTGCGACTACGGCTCTACCTCTGCTATCTACGCTGCTGCTGCTAACTTCTCTACCATTGCTGACGAAACAACTCTGCTACCTTCTACGCTGTCGACCTACGAGAACCCGAAGTCTCTCACCTAAAAACCGCAGTACAACAATTGGTGGAGGATGCGGGGTGAAATGAGACGTCATTTTCACCAGACAGCTGCAGCAATCCCTAATTTTCCTTCCGTTCCTACTTTCAGATCCCTGAAATTTCCGAAGTATTTTAGCCTGGATAGTACTCATACTAGGCAAGATCGCACCTGTTGGCATGGCTTCGGAAGACTTGATCTCTCGCGTGAACTACGGCATCATAATGGAGGCTAAGGGAGAACTGCATTTTAGCCCGGATAGTTGGCTACACACAGTGCGTATTCAGCTACCTTCGACACCACCGAGAGTTCAACCCCTCGTATGCGCTGATGCATCGGCGAAGTGTTCAGCGCTTAGGGCCATGGCTCTGATGGATTAAGTTGTCTTACGAAAGGACGTCACTAATACGGTACACGCACTACAATCATGGGTCACGGAAATCATTCCTAAGGCCAGGGAGCAACACAGATGGCGCTCGCGCTCTCTGCTACCTTTCATTGGTGACATATCAAGTTCATTGTTTGGCACTGCAACGACGCGACTACTGCGCGTTCCCACATATCAATTGCATATAATCGCTCACATGTAAGACAAGCAAGGTGGTGAAGGAGGCATAAATAACCAGCTAGCATCATATATAGCTACCATAACGCATCGCATGGATAACGCGAATGCAAGCCATCACGGCATAATAATCATATGATCGCTGCGTTTATATAATGAGACGGAGTTGCAGCTTCAGGCAGAAGAAGAATTTGTGCAATCACTACTTGAGCGCTCACAAGACAACATCAAATGCATTTGAATGAAATTTCACCACGGAGTGTACAATCTTAGGCAGGGTATTCAGTTTATTAGTAAGACGCGCCGGGTATCCCCGCTATTGCTTCGCGCGTCCACTCTGGCACAAATCACACACACATACGAAAACAAACTGCAGATCAATACTCGCGTTTTAGGCTTATTTACCCCACACACACACGTTTACTCACAAAAGCCTTAAAATGCTCACTGCAACTTACTGCAATGATGAACGCTCTGCTTTCTGTCTATGCACCTTCCATTGACGGCCAGGAGCAGCCCATTCGAGGGCGTACAGGTTCATTCGTTGTTCCTGTGCCCGCCTAACAGCCGATCAGCGCCGGCACGCCACCCAGCGCTATGATCGTATCCCGAGTTCATTGTTTTTTTCCTGGCTAAACAGACATTACACGCCTACTAACGGGTCGCGAGTTTGAGCCAGTGCTCCACGAGGAACAAACGCTAATTTGTCCTTTTCACGCTTTAACGGGGCTACTACCGCTTCCGTGTGTTGCNCAACCTTACTACGGCAAGGTTTAGCATATATCGCCTTAAATAACACTAGCTGCATTAGCATGTTTAATGACGGGCTGGACACTCTATAAACTCAGGTTGCTGCGCGCCGCTCTATTTACCATGATTAGCACGGCGAAGGCTGCACCATTCCCGGCTAAGTCCTTCTCATTCGTCAAATCACAACCTATAGACGAATCCCTTTCACGTTCGGGAGTGGTTTTGGAAGGAGAACATATGGTGCTGGCTCTGCAGGCCATTACATTGGTTTTTCTAGTTAGCAGCGCAGCACTGTTATACAAACGCCGACGACAAGGCACTCGCATAATGCTACACTTATCTAATGGTCCTGTGTGCATCTCTCTCCTAGTACTAGATCTACACATGTGTGATCGCTTCTGGCATATAACGCCCCCGACGGCTATTGAAAATTTGCAACCTAGTTTTCACTTCCTTTTGGCCCGGCTACAAGTCGAGATGCCCGACTTTGCAGTGATCTTGGACCTTACAGGTCAAAAGTGTGGGGTTCCATCATCCCTTCCTATCCCCCTTGGGCTCTACCCCAAGGCGATCGGTATCTTGAAGACCGCCTTCTCCGCCCACCTCACATGCGAGCACGGTGCACATGTGAGGTACATCGCGCCTGGAATGACAATAGAGCCTTCCGCTCTACGAATCTATCCAGGATTGTCATAACGCGGCTAGGTACACGTTGGCTTTGGCGGTATGATTGCAGTGGGACTGACTGTTTGTTTGTATCACCGTTCATGGATGTATAATCATAATGCACGGTATAAACAATTATGTACCCAGTTTTGTGTGTGTTCTTTTTGCTATATAGGTGGCGGTATTATTGGAACATAGTATGATATATCGTTTTTAGTTGGAAATACGTTTTCATGAGGACATGAATTTTTCAAGAGGGGTCAAGAGTATTATTGTATTGACAAACGGCACGTCGCACCTTGGCGCCACTATAGAATTGACAAGCGGTGACCACGTATTGAGGCGACGCTTATAGCGTTCAGGACAACAGCGGTGACAAGCGGTCACAAATGGTGACGGGCCTCTTGAGCGTTTGGACAATAGCGATGACAAGCTGGACGGCCAGGTGACACGACGCGTAACGAAATCAGCAAGAACTGAGAATAGGTGACGCGACGCGCGGTGACGTCGACCGGCCGCGCCAGCATCGCTTGCTGTCTCACGCCAAGAAATCTAGTTTAATTCCTGCCAAATCAGTTAATCCGGTTTTGACTGCGCAGTATATAAGCTGGGTCCACACAAACGTAACCATTCGTCACCTCACACCGCTGTCGATTCTAGATTGATTTTGAGGACCGTGCAACGGGCATATCCAGCGAGCTATTCCCCCAAGAATAGGCTAAATA